GCGTCGGGCCAAATGTCAATCTTGCTGTTTTTAGATGGCTCACCCTGGCTGGCAGAAGCTGGCAATGGCGAGCCAACGAAGGCTCGCAAAACGCAAAGCGTAAAGTGTTGCTGGGACCTTTCGACGGAGGTTCCTTTCCTTCCCGAGTCTTCTTTCAGAGCCTAGAATCAATTTGTCAACGTTTCTCGTCCACCGCGGGACATTTGGCGCATCGACATGGCGCGGCAGCCCAAATTTCTCATGAAAACGAAAACAATAATCAGCTGATTTGATTCTCGAAAGCACAGACCAGATTCTCACGCGTAGTATTACTATATATACTCGACCAATCGAAAACGTGGAACTGCTTCGAGGGCCCTCCGCTAAGGTGGCGCGCCGACACCAGAATAAAAAGTGAGGCCACGAAAAACAGGCTCATTGGCAATCTCCCTACTCATCTCTGATACATGGGTATACAATGTGGAAGAAGACAGCGCGCACTCCGCTCATTAAGGGATACACTAAACAATTAATAATAATACTATGAGTAATACAAGTCGCACGCGATTGTGAGAATTTCGTAGTTAAGATAAATCGTAGAGGTGCGCATGCGAGTCAGTTTAATGAAGATTAACGAACGATCAGGCACTGTGCGAGATAATTTCAGTTTAATGCCAGCTGACAGTAGTTGGACGCTGTCGAGCGCGATATTGCGTATCCAATGTGAGAATGCTGATCCAGCTCCTCTTAATGAATTCTATGGCATCGGTCGCTCTTGGACGACCAAACTTTCTTCTGATTGTCGTCGACGATCTGAGAACTGCCTTGGGATGTTACGGTGATAAGAATGCGTACACACCGAATATAGATAAGCTTGCCGAACAGGGCGTCGTATTTTCCCAAGCCTTCGCACAGGTCTCTCTCGCCTAACGTAAGAGTTCCTCGGATGCTTTATAATGTTAGATTTTATGTTTGCAGCAATCTCTATGTGCGCCGAGCAGGAACTCATTTCTTACAGGCAGAAGGCCAGACACTCTGCAGCTCTACGACTTTTATAGCTACTGGCGTGAAACTGTCGGAAACTTTACGACTCTTCCAGAGCATTTAAAGAATAATGGATATACGAGCGTTTCAATCGGAAAGATCTTTCATCCGGGTAAGAATCCTCACTCCCACAACCTTTGGATCCCGATAATAGATTAAACTCTATTGCAGGCATTAGTTCCAACGGTTCCGATGATTATCCGTATTCCTGGAGTCGCGAGCCTTTCCATCCGTACACCAATCGCTACAAAGACGCACCAGTTTGCAGCAGAAATGGGTCTAACTCAACCGAAGCAGCCCGTAATCTGGTATAAACCGAAAAATAATAATTATGTTCGTTCCCCCATCAATTCGAGATCTCTCATTTATAATAAAATTTCTTCAGGTATGTCCTGTGTGCCTATCCAATATGCCCAACGGTACCTTGCCTGATATTGAAACGCTAAACGTCGCGAGAAATTTTCTCCACCAGCAACATCATCAGAGCCCACCCTTTCTCTTGGCGGTCGGTTTTCAGAAACCTCACATTCCTCTCAAGTATCCGCAACAATATTTAAGTAAGCTACGGCGATTAATTTTAAATTGCGTGGGCAATCTCCAATGACACAGTACACGTATGGTATGCTTAATTTCTTATAGAGCACCATCCATTAAAGAAGTTTAGAAATTTACCAAATTATTACGCGTGGCCACGTAACCTCAGTTCAGTGGCGTACAACCCATGGACGGATCTTCGTAAACGCGAAGACGTCGAGTCTCTGCTATTGAAATTTCCTTGGGAAAAAATACCTGGTAACTCTTGCATTTTAAAAATGCCGTTTCCTTCGAAATCTTATGTCATAATAAATTTGAATTTTGTTTCAGTATCCTTCGCAAGGACCATCATTCAATCGTACTACGCTGCGATTTCTTACATCGACGATCTCGTTGGCCTGTTAATGGAACAACTGACAACGTCGAGTATACAGAAGAAAACCATAGTAATCCTGACGTCGGATCACGGTATCTTGCACGTATAAGCTCAGTACTCAGCGTGAGGCTATACCGAAGATAAATATAAAACATTTCGTTTCGACAGGCTGGTCACTCGGAGAGCACGCTGAATGGGCGAAATACAGTAATTTCGATGTGGCCGTTCACGTCCCTTTAATAGTTTCCATCCCGAGTTTAATGTTTGCCAAGTATACCAAAAATTCAATCCGTAAGGAGCGTAACACACAAATCAACAGCGAACTTCGTGCCACTGTAGAAAAGTCGCCCGATCCTATTCGTAAGTTCCGCTATGCGAGCATTGAGAGCATGCTTCGAAAGAATCGCGGGCAATCACGTGATATTCGAGGAAACGCGCACGTCAGGCACGTAGAATCGAAGAAAGTGAAAGGAGTACCGAAAATTCAAAACAAATACACGACAATTGATTCTCTGGTGGAACTCGTCGACGTTTTCCCGACTATCGCAGAACTCGCAGGAGTTCCAATACCGATCTGTCCGAAAACGGAATATCATATGGGACACCGAAAAGTTTCAACATCCCTGTCAAATGTCTGCGCCGAAGGTGTTAGCTTTCTCCCTCTTATAATAAGAGCGGCAGGGGCCTACCAGGTATGTTCGTCGTTCCTCTGATTGCCAATCAACATTACGTAGTAGTGCTAGGGAAAACAGTAAAATTCAGAAAGTTCAATTATTCTCGCTTTTTCTTTTCTTCGTGTATTTCGTATGGCCTTTACAACTCCCTTCTTCCAATCTTTTGTAGGTGCAAAATTTACGTTGGAAGAAGGCAGCGTTCAGTCAGTACCCGCGTCCCGGCGTGATCCCAACAGTCAAGCCGAATAGCGACGAACCGAAATTAAATGAAATAAAGATTATGGGTTATACCGTACGGACGAACAAATACAGATACACTGCATGGGTGAAATTCGCCCATGTTTCGAAGAAACCGCAGTGGAAAGAAGTTCTTGCGGAAGAGCTGTACGAACACGATGGGGATCCTGATGAAAATATAAATTTAGCCAATTTCACGAGCTTCCTGAAGCGCAAAGCACAACTGAAGACACTGCTAATACGCGGATGGCGGCATGCACTGCCAGAACGGTTGCAATTGCAAAGTTAAAAAAGTTTAACAGACTTGAAAACCCGATAAAGGGCGAGGACCGATCGAAAGACGATTAATTTCTTTAAAACAAATTGACGATTAGTCTTTCCATGACTGTTGCGCATGTTAGCCCGTTTAAATATACATATATTATGCTGTGCTTTACTGTTTTACGATTAATCGCGATCGAGTCGGAAAGTGTTTACCTACGTTTATTGTTACATATCTCAATAAATTCACTTTATACACTACAAAACACATGTACCGTAGTAATAACATGCACCTTCGGTTAACCGTAGGTTGCACGCTTCACCGGCAACGTTCATAATGAAAGCAAAAAAGAAAGAATAATAATGAATACTTAGAAAGGATTAATATTTATTTGTTGCCTTTGTTCACTCCTCCTGACTCTTGTTACTGTTCGTGGAAGTAGATGGCTCTCCGACTGCTCGTGGTACCTCGGCAATTATTGCGCGAGGAAGCCCGGATGCGGAGGACGCCTGAATCAATGAACACCAAAGTAGTAATAGCTCACAATAATAATGCATTATGCATTACGTGTAACGACTGCCATTGAATTACCTCGATCACTTCAACATCGCCGGATGAGGACGTTCCAGGAACATCTTCCGGTCTAGGGAGCTGACCGACATTTCCCTGTTGTGCATAGTTCATCTGCTGATTTCCATGCTGTAACAGTTGCCTACGTTGCTGGTGCATCTGTTGCTGGTACATCATTTGTTGTTGAATCGCGCCTTGCATATTACCCATTCGCGGTACTGTATCCAATGTAGGATAACCCATGTTCTGCAAGTGGGTTCGACATTATTCATTATTCTCTTGGCTGTCTGCACTCGACCTAAATGTCACTTATTGCCAATCTACGTTTACCATTGGATTCGCAGGAAGTTGGTGAACAGCTTGCTTCTCCAAATAATTGTACATGTCGAGTATCGTCCGATTGGTGATTGTTTTTTGTTGTTCTTCCGTAAGGTTCGGATACTGAAAAAAAAAAAAACAGAAATAATATAGAGTATAATAAAATAATACAATAGATTTGTAGCAAGAAAAGAAAATGAAAATAAGAAACGCACATCTTTTCGTATGAGCTGCTGAAGATTTTCATAATCAAGACGCATCATCATTTTATTCTGATCCAAGGGATTAGAATAATCACCCATCTGGGAAGCATTAAATTGATGTTGAAAATAATAATTGGACTGGTGGTTTAACGAGGCCAGAGATACCGGTGGTTTTCCTTTCTTCTCCTCCTCGTACTCGAGCCAAGCTTGCTTACGTTCTTCCTCGTCCAGTTCCTCTTCGGCCTGACAAACCGAAACCACGAATTAATTAATAGCAGAAAACCCTCGACTCATCAGTGTACTCAGCGAGTGTAAGCCTTATTAGCTCATTTCGCTCGTTTACCTTGTTTTCCAACAGGGAGTCGTGCTCGTGATAATTCTCAACTGAATCCTTGCATTTGAGGAATATATCGGCCAATAGCCTATCCTTGGGCAAGTTTAGAGTAGGCTTGTCTTTGTCCCCGTGCGGCTCGAACTTGTACAACTCGGCTAGATCGTTATTGCTATAGTGACGTTCAATTTGTTGCTCATCGACGACGCGACACGAAAGCGAGAGTTTTGTCACTTGACGATTATAAATTTTTTCCTCCATTGTGCCGTAAGCAAGGAACCGATAGACGTAGCACGGTTTCTTCTGACCGAATCTGCAATACAACGAACATTAGATAAGTGGAAGCGCAATGACGCAGATTGCCGTGATTCTACAGCCATTACCGATATATCCTGAAGATGCTCTGTACGTCGTGCGACGGATTCCAGCTGGCATCGAAGATGATGACGCGATTGGCAGCAGTCAGATTTATTCCGAGACCACCGGCTCTAGTGGATATCAGGAACAAGCGTGCCCTCGTGTTCGAGGATTGATTGAACCGGCGGCACCAATTGTTACGATTCTCAGGAGAGGTTTGTCCATCCAGGCGAAAGTAATCTGAACCCAAGCTCCAATTGCCAGTATGTCCCTCCAATCGATCCAAGTTATTTCCCAGTTGTGTCTCATCGTCAATCATACGAAGAAAATGCTCGATCAACGTCAGTGAAAATAAGGATTGCGAGAAGACGAGACTGCAAAAATAAGAAAGGGGATGAAACAGTTAAGGTCAAAATTTAGTTAATCTCCCTGTCGCATAGCAGTGTGTTCCCTGAATTCTGTGCTTACTCACACTTTGTCACCTATTTGCTCGGACTCCTTAAGTATCCCGAAGAGTAGGCTCAACTTTGTGGAAACCCTCATGTCGTCAAAATGCTCCGGTTTAACGAATTGACACCACCAGTCGGAAGAGTCTGCGTTCGCGTCTTCCTTTGCTTCTGGTTCGGCTAAAATACGGTCATTCGATAACGTCAATTGGTACTAACGAGTAAACTTCGAGATCATTTAAGTTATCTTGACCGTGAGATGTTAAAGTGATTACCGATAGGATTTCCTCTTGGTTCACGTTTTTCGTCCCCGGAGTCGCGGATCACTTGCACGTCACTGCTGTCACTCGGACTCTGAGAGCTCTCAGAATCGCTACCGTCATCGATGAAATCCTTGAGTGATCCTTCGGTATCGCTATCCGAAAGCCTCTTCTCATTGGCCTTTTCCATTTTTTCCGTGTTCCATCTCAGGACCATGGGATGCGTCCAGATTCTTTGCAGCGCTTGGAAGTCAGCAAACAAGGATCCGCCGGCGCCGCGATGTTTTCTGCATAAACAAAAGAATATAATTTCCATGAGCTTCATTATACTGCTTATTGGTATTGCTTATTGGTCCACCGGAAGCGTGCCAATGTAAATGAGACGTGCCTTGCAAAATTGTCCAGGTAATGCTGGTACAGCTGTATCTGTACGTCAGTTAATTTTACAAATATCACGTATTCTTGTTTCGGTGGCAGAAAGGGCATGAGCACTGAATAATCGAACCTCTGCACGGACCCCTCGAGCATTTTGTGCAGAACGTGGGCTCGTTTCTTCATAAGCTTGACATCAGCTGCCGTCGAGTCATCGAATTGACCATTCGTTATGGGATTTACGAATCTATTCATAAACTCCTTTTTCGTACCGAGAAGATTTGGTTTGACAAATTGAACCATACAATGATCTGAAAGAAGTACGAATTAACAAGGTATAGAACACACGACAGATATAGAATTCTGATTAACGCATCAAACTGAACTAACATTCCTTCAAGTTGTTTTGTAGAGGCGTCCCGGTAAGAACTATTCTTCGAAGAGTCTTAACCTGCCTCATGGCTTTGCTCAATGCAGTATCCTCGTTCTTCAACAAGTGCCCTTCGTCACAAACCACAAGGTCTGCGCCCGGATCGACCATACATTTAAGAATGGCCTCTTTTACATTTTTACGCGTTCTCTTACCGCCGTTACTCAGATTACGAAACATTTCATAACCAATTATGAGGACACCTCCACGGCGCTGCCACTGCTCGAGGTGACGCATTCTCTCGTAATTCTTCTTCAGCCTAAATTTCAATGTGCCAATGATACCAATTCATGTGTATATGAAAGACGAGAATAAAGAAAGAAAGGACAAAAGTAAAATGAATAAGATATAATAGAACTTTATAGAGCGCAAATACACGCATGAAGATAATCTGACCTTGTCATTTCGAATATCCTGACGTCGGTGCCCTCGTTCACGTCTTTCAACCAGATTTTAAATTCATTTACCCAGTTGAGGACTGTACTCAAGGGACAGACAACCATAATGGTTTTAACGCCAATCTCCTCGTGCGTTATTAGAGTGTGTGCGAGCGTGACCACCTGAAAGCTTTTCCCAAGACCCATGCAATGTGCAACAATGCAACCGGAACCTTTATTTAATTTCATTCGCGCAAGTGACTCGAAGCAGGCGTCCCACATGAATTTAATCCCTTGAGCCTGGTGCGGCTTCAATCGTTTAACTAGGTCTTTGTGAACGCTCACGAGTTCCTGTTTTGTCTCCTCATCGAAATCCAATATTAACTTTTCAACTCTTTCTTCGCCAGCCAAACGGATCTCATACATTTCATTGTATAATTTCTGACGCTCAGCAATGCGCTTCAATCTTTCCTCTTCCTCCTTGGCCGCTTGTTTCGTATTGTCCGCCACTCTGTTGTCCTTTAATAACTTTCGAATATTCTTACGACCAGACTTTCCCGGTGAACTCTGAGAATTCGACATACTGCCACTGTCGCTGCTGTCGCTAGCCATTGCCTTTATTCGACGTCTTTTAAACCTTTTCCTAAAAATAAAAGATAAAAATTGTAAGATTATGCGCGAGACAGTTATGATGCGAATTCAGGAGAAAGTAACTATACTTTTTTTCTATAATCGATTCAGAACTCGCGGAATCTGAGACTCCTCTGAGTCGTTTCTTCTCCGTCTTCGTCTTCTCCTCTGAGTCATCCTCAGTTTTTTTACTATTTCGATTCTGTAGGGAATCATTTGAGTCTTCGCTGCTCTTGGAAAATTTACGGGAATCAGAATCGGAATCGGAGCCCAGCAGTCTTCGCTTCGTCCTCTTCCGTTTCAATTTTATCCTCTCGGCCACGTCGCTATCGTCCTCGGAACTGCTGCACACAGATATTTCCAAGATTCGTGATGAAGAAGCTCTAGAAACTTAGAAAATTATAAAATCCAGGAGGAACGTTTTATACCCCTGTTTTTCTTTTTCCTCGAGTATCTTCTGAGATCTCCGCCACTTATTATCCTCTTCCTTGGAATCGGAATCTGATAATCTGCCCCTTAACACTTTGCTGCGCCTCCATGCAGATCTCTCCTTCTTGGATTTCCTTTCCTTTGTTGGTACCAACAACAGTTACAAAGAGTTATTAATCCTGACAGACAATAATGAAAAGGAAAATATGCCACCGCCGCGCCTCCTCCTTGCATACCTCCTTGTCTTCGGAAGAATGTTCCTCGTCTTTCTTCTTAGACTTCTTTGTCTTGCTATTTTGGCTGCTCGAGCAGACATCATTCTCGTGTTCATTTTCGTTCTGAGTTAATTCGAACATTTCTAAAAATTTAAACGAGACGCATTGAGGTACATAACGTCGTTGCTTAAAATTCTCTCGACATCACTTTAAAAATATAATTACTCGCTCACCGCTATTGCTATCGGAACTGCTATGGAGTAGGAGAGCCCTTGCAATTGTGTCAGAGTCACCAAAGCGACGGTTCTCCGCGTTCTTCGCAGAAATTACATTACATTCGCCGAGCGATTCTTTATTCGTATAGTTTTCGGATTCATGATCATTCGCAGACACAACTTGGCCGTTTTCGACCTTATTCAGATGATCCAATAGAGTATCTTCCTTCTCCTCGTTCAACTGTCTCCTTCTTCTTCCGTCCTTCAGTCCTTTCGAAAACACGGCCGACTCCTCCTGCTGATCCTTCTCTTCCGCGTCACTTCTCTTGTCCTGCGCCCTCCGTTCGATACTATCCAAGTCAAATAATCTGCAAGCAGAAATGAGATATTGCTATAACGAATCCTTCGTGCTAAAAGGAATTTCTCATCTTGGACTTTTCAAGGATCTGGAAGAAGGCCAGATTACGCTCCTACCGATATTAGGAATTACGATACTGATATAAAGGAAAGTCCGAGAATTCCGGATGAAGGAAAGAAACAAGGAGAGTAAGATGCAACGGTGACGGGAGAATCGTAAAGGAAAGTAAAGACCGAGTGAATATGCCATATCGTTCAGAGAGAGAGAGAGAGAGAGAGAGAGAGAGAGAGAGAGAGAGAGAATAACAAACAGATGAAGAAAGGAGTGAAAAGAATAAAGATGCGTATAAGTGGGGTGTTCATTAATACCTTTTATATTCTTTATTCTCCAAACGTCTCCTCGACTCGTTTAGTACGCGTGTATATGGCTCAAGATCTTTTTCGTTAATCCTCTCAATCAGAACGAAACTGCGTTGTCTTAGTCTTGAGTCATTAGAGTACCAGTAATTGTTTTGACACTTGAATTTTCGCTTTTTCAACATGCTGCTACGCAATAACGAATCTTGCGATGTGACAGAGGCACGACTCGAATCAGTGTCAGAAGTACTCCTTGTCCTCCCCGAGTCGTGAGAGAACACCGTGGTCGTATCTTTATCCGAAGAGCCCGAGGACGACAAAAGGAGAATCTCTTTGGCTCGCCCATCATCAATATGAAGGTCCGATAGACGATCAGTCTGATTCTCAAATTTCTTCCTTTTCAAGGGAACGGCAGCAACAGTCGATTCTGTCCTCTCGACGGAATCCAAATCCGCCTCGTCCTTCGACGAGTCTGCGTTTCCTTCGAGCTCGGTCGCAGCACCTTTTGCTAGAATTACCGCTTGCTTCGACTTGCCGATATCCTTTATAGAATCGGCCAGTATCACTGTGCTGCACGTGCTGTCGACATCCGAAGAACGCTCCTCGCCGCTTCGCCTATTCACGGATGATGTGCTGCTCAGAAACATTTTCTCCGAAATTCGAAGTTTATCTGCCTCATCCGAATTCTCAGACAGGGAATCAAGAAGTTGCCTTCTAGCAAATACCTCGGAATCTCCCTGCTCGTCCGGAAGTGTCGATTCCTCATCTGAGGATTCTCTATCTTCTCTCTTCCTTAGCGCCATCACACTTTTCATCCCTGATAATTTTCTCATATTTTTACCCAAATTAAGATTCAGAGAATCGTCAATTTTGTTCCTCTCCTCCGCATCACAGTCGGCAGCCTCATGCAACTCCTTCTTTCCTTCCGTCGCAACCCCAACATGCCGCATGTCTTTCTCTTCCGTCGAAGAGGGACTCTTCCCTGACTCATTCGTATCATTGCCCACCTTCTCAGGTTCTTCTTCGAAACCACTTGTCATCTCTTTAACGTTATCCTTCTCGGTTACTGCATTAATAGGTTGCGTAGATTTCGCAGAATTCATATCGGTATTATCTCTTACCTCGGTATCGTTCAAAATGTATCTATCCGTACCTATAGTCATGCCAATGCCTGTACTTGACCCTGATTCTGAGAGTCGACCCGTTGCGGTCGACCTTTCCACTTTCTTTGCTAATACACTGCTCGCAGCACTCACTTGAACCTCTGACCTCTCTTGTGCAATCGAACGTTCAACCAAAGTCTTTCGTTTGAGTATCCTGGAATACGAATGATCTTCCGGTTCGCTAGTTTCTACGAAGCTGCTGTCCCCGGAAATGTTCTCGGACACGTGAACTTTCTGCGACAAGGACGAGACAGTAGCATTGTTATGAATTACAGATTCAACGTCATCATCGGAACGAGGATTCTTCTTAGTCGTCTCATCTGCTACCCTCGTTGGATTCTCTACATCGTATGAGTCTTTATCACTATTTTCACTTGCAGCATCCAGTAAGCCCATCTTCTCGGCTACAATTGTTTCAGAGCTTGTATTATTCCCCTTTGAATGGTGTGATCGGCCTACCTCGAATGCCTTCCCGCAAAAATTCTTATTAAGATCGTCCTTCGCAGCTTTCTGTTCAAGGGGTTTCGACGTCTCATTTTCCGAGAATATTTCTTCGGTGTCACATTCCGAAAACTCTTCCTCAGTGCGTCGATGCCGGGAAACCGAGAGATTATCTTTTCTATTGGGAGCTCCAGAGGACGTCACTTTTTTATCTTTACCAATAAGCAATGGAGAGACACTGTCTCTTGTTCTTCCCCCATTTGTACCATCTCTGTATTCTGCTCCCCTATTAACTTCCACCTGTTGTTTGCTTGCATTCTGATCGATACCGTTGAATACATTTGTCACTCCAGATGCTCGTGACCAATCATCATATGACCTCAGCAATGTATTTCTATCCTTTTCAAAGTTTCGTTTAATGTTATCGATCAAGTTCGTACAATGAAATATCGTTGTCGAAACATCGCTCAGCCCAGTGAAATCTTGAGTACGCCGAAAGTCCGTATAAGCAGTTTTTCTCAGCGACATCGATCTCTTACAAGAATTCATTACGTTCTTATAAAATTCTTCGATGATATCATGAAGCCTTGATTCTTGATGTCGCGGAATATTCTCGACGAGCTTCTCCAACTTTCGTTTTAGATGTTCCGGCAATTGATCGTTTTTTCTGTTCGAATAGTCTCCGTTTATATCGTCGAGAAGCCGTGCGGGCTGATGATGCATCCGTTTTTTTTTAGATATTGAACGTTTCTTGAATTCAATATCGGAGCTGGATGCAGCGGAACTCCTTGACCGATCTCTGGTACGACAATTGACGGGCAACATCTGTGATTTTTGTTGAGACCTTTCTTCACTTTCTTCCTCGCTGTCGGACTTGAGAATTGACATTTCTCTGGATCGATTTGGTCGCGCTCCTGTCCTCCTAATAGCTCTCGCATTCTGTCTTATCTCCTCGTTCGAGTCATCCTCGCATCTCGCAGGTACCGTGCACCTGCTGCTGCTGCTGCTGCTGCTGCTGCTTGTCCCATTCTGCCGTGTCGTTTCTCTGGACAATATTTGCGAAGTACTTGGAATTACGCGTTCCTGCTTTGAACTTGCACGAGCCGCGTATCGACAGCGCTTGTTGCTCAAGCTCTTACTCCTGTTTCTCAAATCGGCATGCGTCTCTTTATGCAATCGTACGACGAGGCATTTCTTCATGATCTTCATCAATTCGGAGCGAGTTACAGTTTGCTTTTCCCATTCGTCACGAGATTCAGGTTTTACGATTGACGCACCAACTTCGCTGGAACTCGAATCCCCGGTACCATCATTTCGTTTGCGTCTCTCGAGCATTGTTCTTCGCTTATTGCTCCTCGAGTTTACCGAGATCTTTAAAAATCGTCCGCCGACATTCCTTACGTTTCCATTATCCAGCATGTTCTTCCTATACTGTTTTGATTTTTTCAAGTGTTCGATCTCTCTTTTTGCAATTTCCGATCCGCTCACATTACTAGTGCTCTCGGTTTCGCTGCTATCCTCCCAAGACATTTTAGATTGCCGATTTCTGAAACACAGAAGTCCCATGTCCGTGACACATACAGGTTTCTCGAGGTCGTCTTCTTTTCTAAGTACCGCACACTCATACAAATATTCCATTCTTCTGTAATACGTTTTTTCAAACGCCTCTTTCTTTCCCACGTTCTTTCTTTATTTCGTTCTCTCTTTCCTTTAATTGTACGGCGCATTTAATTGACCATTAATTCATAAGATTTCGATCTGTATATCTTATTGAATCTTGTTGATCTCTCAAAAGTACGATGCTTCGATACAATTTACGATGTTACGTTACGTGAGAAAATAAAGTGGAGCGACAAATTGAAGCAGAAACAAGAAACCCATCGTAATGTAAATGTCATGGCAATAAGGAAATAAACATACGTTGAACACTCTACATGAAGGTCATTATACAAATGAAAATGTGTTACTGAGTAGGACAGAATTACAGAGTAATATAATGCAATAAACCGATTTAAACATTCAGCATTGCCCAGACAGTTAAAGAAAAAAAATCAACAATTACTTCTTAGGTAGCGATGCTTGCACTGCAGCACAAATGGCACGTACTTCCCACAACTGTTTGCAATTGCATAAGAAACATTGCCAATGTTTAGCTCCTTTGCATTCGACGTTCCTCACATTTCTTTTGATGCATAGCTAAAATCCAAGCAAACAAAAAGTATGTAAAGCAATTTCCATTTTTGTAATCAAGTGTCGATTAACTTACCTTACAGAATGTAAACGGGCAATTGGCACTGCTACATGTCAAAATTCTATTGGATAGTTTATGCTTTTTGCATAAGTAGCAAATTCTTGCCTCGGCTACTTTAGGTACAACTAATTCTCCTCCTTCATATAAATCATTGCACCTCTATATTATATAAAAAGACAAAGTTATGGTAACAAGCGATCTTTAATAACAGCATATGATGATGGATTTGTATAAGACAATAGTGCTCTGTAATGCTGCTATCTACAAGAGTCTTACTTTACACTGTAAAGTGCCCAATAGGGGATGTGAAAAGATAGCAGTTTCCTTTAACACAAGCTGGATACCACAGGAAGCACACCATAGATTCTTTAAATTGTCAATTTTAACACCTGAAATATTAAAAGTAGATGGGATATTACGAACAGCAACCATTTTTTTAATTTCCTTTTGATCTAATTATTCCTTCAGAGGAATCTTACACAGCCCAATCGGCATTTAGAGAGAGAGCGTGACAATAACTGCTTAGTAATACACAAGGCAATGAACGCTTACCATGTTTCCTGCGATATAAGGATTCCTCGGGTGAAACCTTTAGTCCCATCTGAAAGTCATAACCGTGTTCACGAAATTTATTATACAATATTTGTGTTAGGAGTTGATCGTGCAGATCCGTGATGAGTGATAAGTAACTGGTGGTAAGATAGACAAGAAGTACCGAGGGTCATGTCGAAGGGACACGGGGTTGCTGGACAAGAAGCTTTCTTCTGAGGACTCAGAGATAAAAGAAATGGTATAGTAAGTATCTTGAGAAATATATTCATGCTAATCAGCGTAAATCAGTGAGTGTGTCAGAGAGAGAGGGAGAGAGAGAGAGAGAGAGAGAGAGAGAGCATGGAGTTGCATGTACATACGCTATGTAACGTTACGGTTTGGCGCTCAATTTAACGAAATACTAAATGATCCTATTATGTATGATGTATTCAACTGTATTATACGTACTGCAACGCGTACCTCTACGGCGGCTAGGCTTTCTCTTCGGTGCTGCCCTCTGTGCGATGGCTGTTCACGATGAAGAAAAAGAGTGCTAAAAAAAATATGAATCTTAGGAAGTTTCAGGATTACCTGTGTGCCCGTTCTCACCATCTCGTCCCGTTGTCCATCGCAGCACAATATAAGGAATTTAAAATATACCTTTTTTGTATCCTTCCTTCCTTCCTTCCTTCCTTCCCCTATAGCTGCCTCCTCCAATGAGTAGATGTGCCACCTTTTGCTATTCCCGTTGTCTTTACCCTCGAAATCATAGACTACGTTTACACGACGGTCTTAAACCGGTTTTGTTAATACTAAACTAAAGGAATAGACAAATAATAGACATTTTTACATGTAAGTAATATTTGGAATTGGTCAATTCCTTTAGATTAGTATTAACTAAACCGGTTTAAGATCGTCGTGTAATCGTAGTCATAGTTCAAAATTTGATTTTTTACCTGTGTTGACCGGCATTTGACGGAATAGCGTTGTGTGAGTGCTTATATACACTGTTATACACTGGCCAGAAGGTGCTGCCGCTTTCGCAAACGGCGGGTCACGCAATTATATTATATGGTCCCTCTAAAAATCACTGTTTATTTCAGTTTACACCAGTTTACACGGTTGTACGCGGTCTTTCACATTAATCGCATGAATTCCCTGGGACTTTTCAACGTCGAATTCTTGTTTAATTGTAGTTAGGCCAGGTAAGTATTATATGATCTATATTCACGTACCTGGGCAACGCGAAGGTTTTCATTATTCGGACTCATTTCATTCGTATTTCTCAAACAAACGCAAGGCGGAAAGTACTTTCGACTTAATAGGTTACGATGTAGAGTACACAGTACATGTTACGTAGTTTCCTTATTTATGTACTTTATTATTTTGCCTTCAAGTTTGTAATTAGGTAATTTACATACATTTTATTACTTAGGTATGACTGCTATCAAGGTGCAGGGTGGTATTGACATTCTTCGTTTGCCAGTAAACGAGAAGGAGCACATCTTCCCACCATGGCATGTTAAGTACACTCAATCACATATACTGCATTCAAAATGTTCAAAGAGCGAAAATGCTTGTGGCGATAATGATGCTGATGCCTGCCAATTTTGCATGTAAGCGAACCACCATTAATCGGAGACTGATATTTATCCGACATAAATATCCAGTGCTATGTTTGTCTCTCCTTCTCTCTTTCTTCACACTTTTTTTTTGCAGATATAACAGAACCCTAGAACTACCACACATGCCAGATATGGTTTTTCCAAATAATATCCTAACACTGAAGCACGTTAGTGGAGCTGTTTTGCAGTTCAATGCATTGGATGCATTAAGAAGAGTGTCCAATGGAAAAATTCAATTACAGCTTGCATGTGCAGAGGCCTGGAAGGAGTCCAGGTATTGAGAAATTTCATTGAAACGCTAAAGAGACTGAATTGCCCAATGAATTTTAAAATCTCTATGAAATGTCAATCAGGGCAGAGAGCAGCGAGTATCTGGAAGAAAAAGTGAAGCCATTTGACTGGACATTTACAACTGATTACATGGGTACTATGACGGGATTTGAAATTCGAGAGACCGATGAGAGAATAGACGTAGAAAAACTCAGGCGCAAAGAAAAGATTGTCTTTTATCATGACCTAACACTCTTCGAAGACGAACTTCACGATAACGGCATCGCAGTCAGCTCCGTAAAAATTGTGACTATCCTCGTAATTTAAAAAATGAACCGTTTCATAATTGCATTCTAATTCTGCCTCTCTTCTTGCCGTTGTTCAGCGTATAATGCCATCGAGTTTTTTCGTTCTGCTGCGCTACTTCCTTAGAGTGGACAATGTAATGCTACGCGTGGTCGATACTCGCATTTACCATGAATTTGGCTCTGACTATCTTCTACGCGAGTTTACGTCCAGAGAGGCCAAAGTCCAGGATATTCACGTACGTTAACATTTAGAAGAATTGCTACGTAGCTCATGTTTATATTTATTAATTTCTTTAGGTTCCTCCCACATTGTTCGTGGAACCGAACGACATAGCGCCGCATTTGCCAGTAATCAATCGTTTTCATCACAAATTAATTATCGGCTCGAAACCTACGCAATCAGCAAAATTGGGCTTAACAGAGAAGCAGAATGTCGACGCCGATCCTGATGGAAACGTCTCATCGACGTCGGCGAGTGAATCTACAACCTAAAATACTCAGGAAAATATAATTGACACGTATATTAATTGTAAAATATTAATTTTTATTGCGCGGACTGCCGGTAGCGTTCGTTTCAAGTGTACGTACAGAGAAATCGAAATGGCCGAGAATGTGTTCAGGCACATAATAGAATAATCACGAAAATAGTTCAGACGTTTACAGATAGAGAATATGATTTCAATCCTCCATTCTCTTAATCTCTATCGATACCGATACTTTCGAAGACAAAATTGGACTGGCGGACATTCAAGCTTTATAAGTATAAAGCGTTATGTGTGTATATATGTATATGTACATACGTGTTTACGCGCGCGCGCGTGTCCCCGTAATTTCTTTTCTATAATAAAGGCATCGATATGTCACGCATCGATTTACAGACGTTGCTGGTTCTTTTTTGTTCCGTAAACCTTAGAAGTTTTCTAAAGTTATAGATTGATAGAGAGCGATAACTTCCCTCCGCGACGTACGTTAAAACCAATAAAGTCCGAGGATCATCGAACGAACACTTGAAGATAATGTCAGATGACATATACAACTTACCTAACACGATGGTGAACAAATTGTCAAGTAGAGATGATTATCGAAATCAGCTTCGCGGAGAAACTCTTAACTTTTGATCAGTCAAACTGATATCGTCGAGAGAATGTGGCGTATTGCATTCCTGGTCGGTGCTTTCACACTTTTGCCTGGTAATAGAAAAATCTGAATATTCGAAATTGCAAATCATCAAGAATTTCTAATAATTTATTCGTTATTCGTCAGGTCTCGACTCTCAGACGATTCTGGAGGTAGATGTTGGGGAATCTAAAGCTTTTCGTTTGTCTGCGACGAGCAGTAAGATCCAGGAATGCAACATAACTGTACCCACTGGTGATGTGTATGAACTACTGCCTAACACGAGTCTCATAGAGACCATCAACGGCAGGTATTCCTTCTCTGGGGAAGGCGACTCGATTTGCGGTGTGACCATAGACCTGACGGTCTTCGCCGACAGCGGTGCTTACATGCTTAGCATCCTCGAAGGCAATAGAAGTATTACACAAGCAAATTATACTCTCCGCGTTCGAAGTTAGTATTTTTTCTTCATTTTGAATGTTAATTGTTCCTACTTTCTGGATGTACCTGTGACATCCAGGAGGAGACCCTAATTCTTTCTATAATATATAGAAGAAATGATAAACGAAACTGAGTGGACTATTTAGTGGAGAGATTACTTACATGCAAACAAGGTGTATACATTTTAGAATAGCTCATGAAATTTATCGTTACTGCCACAGGTAGAACAACCATTTGGCCCACCAGCTCACTGATGATATACGAAGGCAACGCTGCTTATCTCTACTTGCCAGATGTTCCGGACATGGTTCTGTACTGTTATGTAACACCGCCCGAGCAGGCTGAGATTATAATCGCGGAAGGCACCAGTGCGAGTGGCAACATCAACCAATGGAGCCGAAGTTCCTCCTGTAAGATCTTACTTAACTGCTCTAATCAAATACCCTGAACCTCCTCCTGGAGAAAAAAAAAAAGAATATTTCTTTGAATAGCTTGGTGCGGCGTGGCGATAGAAGCGGTGGACGGAGCTTCCCATTCCGGATATTGGAAATTGATCGCTTCCACCAACAGCACTCATTTCTATTACAACAAAGTCCATCTCGTAGTCCTGGGTAAATATAAAGGCAGGATCCTGCAGAATTTTTTTACTAGTTTCGATGTCTCAATGGGCCACGAGTACCGACGATGCATTTTTCTAGAATCGTCTGCATTGACCGTCGCTCCGACTACTGCTGAATTAATCGTTGGGCAAAGTTATCACGGAACTTTTGGCCACGAAAATGCTAGTTACTGCGTGCTCTTGAATCCACAAGTATTTATACCAAACTCTTATAAATTATAACTCATGAACTTAATTGAATACTTGAAACCGTAATTTCTGCAGGGCTCGTCCTCGGGTATCACCAGCGGTCAATGTACCCTGGAGCTGAATTTTCCCACTAGCCAACATATCGGGACCTGGGTGGCAACTGCAGGTGTATCCGGAAGCATTGACGAAATCAGTCAAGACATCAACATAGAAGTTAAAGGTTTTCTTTTTTTTTGGTTTATACATAATTTCTTCCCTTCGGCTAAACCGTACGTTGCTACCGATAAGCCACTTTCCCCTCACATTCTCTCTGTTTTGTTAGAGCGCCAATACATTCAGACTATGTCTTCGAGCAATAGCGTCGACAGTACTGCGATTGACATATACTGTAAAACAGATGACTTGATCGTTGAGGTAATTACCATCGTTAGGGAAGAATTGAGACGGAGAAAGGAGAAAGATTAGCTATACCTATCTGCAGATAATTATTATATTCGTAGATCTGCAGATTCGTATCTCCGAATGGTACTGGCATAGCAGTCACTTCTGGTGTCGGAAATGGCGAGTATCGTGGTTACCAGGATGACCAATACTCCTGCGGTTTGACAATTGTCACTCCAAATAGTGACGATTACGGCACATGGAAATGTCTCGTCGGCAATGCATCCGATTTACGTGCAGGATACATAAGCGTATCTGAATTCTTAAGACGAGGTGAGTTGTACTGATAGGATATGCGAATTCTTGTCTTCCGCGAAAAAATAAAATTTAAACCATCTAACAGGATATTATTATATGTATGTCTCTTAGATTCGAGAGCCACTTCGATATCGGAGTCATATACGGCCTATGCTGTCAACAAAGGCAACTTGACTCTGAGTTGCAATGCCGACTCAAGTTTGCTTTATTGTTGGTTCAAGCATCCCAATGGATCGTACTACGCTGCGATTCCCGGTGAGGAGGTCGAAAACAATTTATGGAGCTACTCGGGAGATGGCCTCTCGGTTGGTTCCTGTGCGATTACATTTCGGGGAGTTTCCTACGAGGATTCTGGCGAGTGGACTTGCAACATGGGCATATCCAATCAACTGATGGACCTCAGTGTTTCCATTACAGCCCAAGTGACAGGTAAGTGCGAAGCGTCTCGTGCTGGTGCGCTCTGCAACGTCTTATTTTTGCAATGACTTTCAGCCAACTACTTAGTGGCAATCTCTACCGAGTATGGGGATCATAACGTGACGGTTGCATGTGCCGTACAGAATGACCTTAATGCTTTATCGTACTGTCGCTTCGTTAAACCGGACGGCATTGGCATTAATGCGGCTTATGCGGCAAGCACTACCAAATACAGGTAATATATTATACATTCACCGATTCACCCCTCATTCGATAATGGCCAGTGATATATGTATGTCGATTCCTCGTCGACAGATAAGGTCAGTCGCGAACCGATCGTTGCTACTCCTTGACAATTTTATCATCATATTTTGACGTATGTCTCTGCTTTCAAGTTTATCCGCAAATCTCAATCTTGGTGTGTGCGTGCTGTCGATAAGAGCCCTCGACGACGATGATTACGGTACTTGGATTTGCGCGGGTAAGCTAGAATCCGGCATCTCCGAATTATACGACACCTTTGTCCTCGAACCTCGAGAGGCAGCAGATACAGGCAACACTAGTGCCTCCGAAGGTAGGTCAGAAGCATTAAAGGCGACGGATATGTAGTAGTGGCGGTGGTAGTAGTGCTAGTATGTAGACGGGAGAAGGGAGTTGCAATTACGAAAATGGTTTTTAATTTTTAGCATCGATTATGGCACTCTCCTCCGTATTGCTGGGTATCGGTGTATTCAGCGTATGACAGACGATCATCGTTACTTAATTTTCATCGAATACTTTCAAATGAAGAGCACCTTCGGCAGACGATTACTTACAGTAATATATCTCGATAATTCTTAATAAAGATTAAGATAAGATTTCACAATAGTATATTTACCGAGTTAATTAGCTGGCAAACGCACAGAAGAATTGATCCCAATCAGAGAGCTTCGCGTTAAGATTCACTGTGTCGAAGTAAGAAATGTTGCTGAATAAAAAGTTCATAATCCTATTCGCTACGCGCATCGTGTTTAATTTAGCTGCCTTGAGAGCTGGTAAGTGCAGTCTCACACAAAAGAGAAGATTGACCACAGGATTTCCATTAATTGGTGGAAAGGTTCGAAACGACCCTGCGAATATTTGGGCCCGCAGATCTGGGTACAAGAAGGATTCTGCCGACAAGTCTGACTATACGAGAAGGCGAGGATATGCAACTTCGCTTGACGAAAGTCTTCGATCAGAAAGAAGACTCCTGCTACTTGAAGACGCCGGCTCTTCAAAGTTACAATCTTAGGAGTATGTCGGACGAGTCAATAAGCGAGGACGATTCTTTGAGAATAATGCATTGGTCCGAGAATGGAGAGTGTGGAGGGCTAGTAAAGAATATCTCCAAGAAGGATGGCGGACGGTGGAGGCTCACGGCCAAAAGTCAAGACCGAACGATCGTCGATGCTGTCACAGTTAATGTTCTTGGTGACATTTTAACTCTATATTGTCATTCGATATTATAATAACTTGTCTCGGTCTTTAAGCTGACAGTAATAGCTTACTGTCAATTTCAGATAAGTTCGTCGATACCGTTACCGAAGTTTCGATTCTCAGTGGTCTGGCGTACAGTCTCGTCTTATCTGAGAACGTCTCGTACTGCATGGTAGTCTGACAGTCTGACAGTCTGACAGTCTGACAGTGATTTTCCTCTTCCGAAGCGACTAATCGACCTCCTGTTTAGGTTCAGCGTCCCCACGATGAGCTCTACGTAGACGTTGGCAATGAGTGCAAGATTGAAATGGCCAGACCGACACTGGCCGAATATGGTAAATGGATGGCGAAGACTGGGATTCCTGGACAGATCGAGGAAGTCGTCAAAACAACCAAAGTCAATGTCGTCCGTGAGTTGCATAACGTTCTCGGGCTTGTAGATTGGTATCTTGGCTGTTACAGCAGAGACTTCTTGATTGATGACAGGTGAAAATCTCATATCCGGCTACAGGCAGTCCGCCGATGGAAAGTTACTGCATCTTTATTGCAACGTCGTACACTACGACGAAAAATTGGAACTCTGTAGATTCGCCAAGGTTAATAGCAGCGAGGTGACTACATAAAAAAGATCTGCCAAAAAAATTAGACGCGTTTTATTACTCGGTGAGGACGTTGACTTGACTTTATTTTTTAACAGAGCTCTCTGCGTCTAAGCGAGGGTCTGCGCAAAGGAAAATACGGATATTATGGCGGTGGACTTGCTTCCGGCGAATGCGGCCTGTCTATCGAAAATCCAAACGAAAGCGACGCAAGCCTTTGGCACTGTCTCGTAGGATTCCCGCACCAGTCACCCTTCGGAGCGTATATCCATGTCCTCAACAGTAGGAGAACTAACGATTTACATTCTCACGGTATTACACTATCAAAGCAAAACGCACTGAGCGAACAAAATATTCCTAAAAATTCATTTCTTCGACTTTTTCCCTATAGCAGTGACATCCTCAGTTAGTCCTGTCGTGACAATGGTCTCTAAGAGTCTCTTACTAGATTGCAGAGCTTCAATGGCTTTGAGTTACTGTCGATTTCAAGGGCCCGATGGTTCTATCTTCACTCCTTTACCGGAAATGGATGCTAACATCGAGAGAGCAGCGTCATCAAATTATTGGTAACAGAATATAAAGAAGAAAAAAAGTGAAGTGGCATTAAATAGCGTGATGCTTAAGAGAGGTGACGACCCTTGACAGGTATACAGGGATTGGCTTGCACAATGGAAGATGCGGCATGATGATATCCGCGGCTAAGAAGGAACACAATGGCACGTGGACGTGTCACATGGGACCAGAGGTGCCTGATCTGGAGTTGACATCGACTATAGTCGTCAGAATAGCAGGTTTTTGTTTATCTGAAGGATTCGAAGCGTCGTGTCCATTCGTCCGTTCGTCAATAAATTCATAAAATTGAGGAGAGTGTAAAATCCAAGATTGATTCATTTTTAGAAACACCTCTTGCGGCAACAACGAAATTCGTGAAAATCGAGAAAATTGGTGACTCCGTAAGTTTGCAATGTCAAACGGTACCGAATAGAGTTGCCCTTCAATACTGCAGATTCTATTCCCCAGAAAATATCGGGATCCACGTAAGCCACGAGATTACAGAGGAAAGGTAACGCAGAGAAACGCTTCGTGAGAATATTTAAGAAAATACATGACAAAATTATTGGTATCCCCAGACCTCTAATTCTCGAGAATGGCGATAAATATTGGTTTAGTGGTAGTAATACGAGCATAGGGGAGTGTGGACTAACCATAGCACAAATTAAACCGAGACATTTCGGTAATTGGATCTGCGCCGCCATACTGGAAGCCCAGACGACAAACCTGGAAGCTTTTGACACGATTATCGTCTATATAGAAAACAATGGTAAGTTTAAAAGCACATATCTTGACTTTTTGTTTGTCACCCTCGAGTAAATTGAGGCTCAAGAATTACTTACCTTATAGAAAACCTAAGCGTCGCAGCTGGAATGGGCATAGCGATGGGCGCTATGGCTGTTGCAATCGCTATAGCGGCGTCTATCGCATTTTTCGTAAAGATCCGTAAAGGAACTCGGGTAAGTCATTTATTAAACGTCGTGATGTGAAACTTTCTACGAGCCAATACGAGTATTTTTTTTGTTTTTATAGATCGAAAACACGTCGGCACCTGGAAATAACGCATCAGAAATTATTTCTATGTGCTCTCTCAGCAGCAGTAGCAGCAGCAGTAGCAATATCGCGGAGCCTATCTGATTTTTCCGTTTCTTTGGAAAATGCTTAAATTTGTTTAGATTTAATATACATTTCGCAACATACTACGATACCGCGAGTTCTATTAGTTTGTGATTGCATGTTGTGAAGCCGCACTGGACAAGATTGTGACAAGATCTTGATTTACTTTCAAAATTTATACAAAATATAAAATTGAGGCTAAATCAAAATCTCGCAGAATATATGGAGTAGATAAAAATTGAATTGAAATTGTAGAATATCGAAAATAAATTACGTTCACTTCCTTATTTCTTTATATTTAATTCTTTACTTTGATACCCCTATTCCTTACTTTTCTACTTTTTAATATCTTTATTTCTATCTTCCCTTCTGTCTTCTCGTTTCACTCTGTTCCCTCTGACTTTCCATTATGATTGTCTTGCTTGTTCTATTCCTTTGGTCTGATCGAGCATATTCATTCGAGTATTCATATAAGGGTAGTCACCCTGTTAGGGTAGCTACACGTATAGACTATGGTGTCGGGGGTTGCCCTTCCGCCTCATCCGCTGAGCTTGCTCAAGGCTTGCTTGTTCCTTATAAAAGGAAAAAGGATATGGAAAAATGGAAAAAGAGATAAACAAACATTCTTGTGAAATGGGCCCCTCCCCGCCCATTTCCGTGAGACACTGCCTCTCCATAACGGAGCAACTGTCCCTCCGTGATCCAACACCGTATCGTTGTCGACTTAACCCCTGAGCCGTGAGACCCAAGGGAAATCCCTAACCAGATACATTATTTGTTTCATCTCTCCATAGAAAATAATTGGTTCATTTTTATATGCTCATCATTTTATGCCTTCTTTATCCGTCTGCATATTATTTATAATATTAAAAAATGGAACAGCGTGCCATAGGAGTTTGCGCGATGAGCAGCGGTGAGTGAGTGGCGAAGAACCTCTGCTCGCCAAGCTACGCGTTCGTGTTCACGTTTACCTCGGCTACGACGGAATTTGCATTGTCGACGGAGGCGATGATCACAATATCCTACTTCCAGACTCGTCCCTACGATTTAGCGCCATGATTCTGTTATCGCCCGAAACCGTAGTGTTGTGCATCTCCCTACTCATCTCTGGTAACCTCTCTAACCTCGCCAATCTTGTCAATCTCTTCATTTCGATGGGCTTGGATCTGGTCGCCTTCATTCGATCGTTATCCAGTCACTTGAAAGGAATTTAATAAGCTATATGCCCATATGTGTCTTGATTAACTTCTTTCTTCTCAGTCGTACTGTGGATTGTATTGCGTTTTAACAGTTAAGGTAAAAGTAGTCAAATAAATCGTGAAATCGTTCTTACCTAGTGTTTTTTCATTGTTGTGTATTATTTGTACAGACAATATAACTTGCATGATGCATCTCATATTAATTGTCATGTACTTTATTTAATATCAAATGATTTTTAGCCATTTCAGAATTTGGAATTTGAAAGTAATCGGCAAAGGATGATCACTGATCTTGTTTCACTACTCACGGTGTCTTTACCGTGCTTAATATGGCCTATTGCATCCTGATTTGGAGCTTAAGTTTATATTGTGCTTGATAGAGCACATTCTATCGAGACGTTAGGTATCTCTTGCTTAATCATTTTACAGATAAGTCATTGTTCTTTGGGTGACTGTGATCAGTCTTTATCATTCCTTGATAGCTTGGGTAAGTAGTTTTATAGGATTTTACATGATAATACATTGAACATAAACTAATCCATGAATCTTGCTTTTGTTTGATATTGCCAGAGTCATACTGATGCAAGCTGTTCGAAGATTGACACAATAATATTGATAGATAATGGCAAAAGCTCCACACTCGGAGGATGGTATTAAAATCGCTGAGGAAAGCGGAATTGTAAGTTAGGCGACTGGATCATTATTTTAAAGCTCGGAGATACGGGCTGAAATTATTTTTCTTTTTTTTAACATTCTATATCGTTTGAGTGCAGTGTGGCGATTCTGATGGATTGCATTTGGAATCGAGGTTCGAATGTCCTATTTGCCTTACGTGGCTTCGCGAGCCTGTTTTAACATCTTGTGGTCATAAATTCTGCTCAGAATGTATCAACACATGGCTTCGGTAAGGAAAGCTTTTGTCGCGCATCATTTTACACACAACATTATCCACTTTGCATATCTGAATTACGCTCGAAAATAGGAAAGAAGGCGCCAGTTGTCCCGTCGACAGCAAGCCTTTGAAACCAGAGAGCGATCTCTTCAGGGACCTCTATACAAGTCGAGAAATTTCTCAACAGCGTACGCACTGTCCTTATCAGGAGTTCGGATGCGCGCTTGAACTGTCTCGAATGGACCTGGAAGCGCACGTCAGCCAATGTCCACATAGAAGAAACTTTGAGTGTCCTTTTAAGAAAGCGGGCTGTCTCGAAGATTTTCAATCAGAAGAGGCGCGCAGCTCGCACCTAGAAAAGTCAATAGTGTCGCATCTAACGGTATGTCATCTGTTCTGTATGTTCGATGAATACGCAGGACGCCGATCCATGTTATATCATCTCTCGCTTCTCCTTTCATGTTTGTTCAGCTGTTGGGAAGTGCTTTGCCGCGGCTCACGTCTTTGGTCGAATCCAATGCGCGTGATCTCGAGTCAAAGTTCTGGGAGGCACCCCCGAAAAACGCGTCAACGTCCGTTGCGAAAGATGGAAATTCGTCGCCGCTATTGACAGAGTGGCAGCAATTACTCAAGTGCGTTCGTTAAAATTGTATATTGAGCGATGATGTTTCAACCTGAAACCTACTAGAAATATCGTAATTTCAGGAGCCTTTACGAAAGGATCGTCGTGTTGGAGCAACAGAATCGGGAATTGAATATTATGCTGTCTAATCAGCGAAATCAGCTGACTACCATGCAAACCTCTATTCGCTTTAATAACGAGGAGATGAATTTGAAACATTGCAATGGCCTTTACATATGGCGTCTTGCGTCGTTCGCAGACAAACTCGAAACGATGAGATCGGATCCCTTGAAGATGTTCTACAGTCCAGGATTTTATACATCCCCGAATGGATATAAAATTTGCGCGCGGATAAATATTTCTTCGAAAAATCCACACTTTCTCTCTTTGCTGGTACACCTGATGCACTCGAAAAATGATGACGCCCTCGATTGGCCGTTCAACGGTCTCATCTCGTTCGTCCTGGTGCATGCAAGTGATTCCGAAAGAAATATTCGTGAGACCGCTGCGTCCAAACCCGAACTCGAAGCCTTCAGGAAGCCCACCTCTGAGTTAAATAAAAGGAGCTTTGGATATACCGAATTCGTAGCTGTGCGTGATCTTGACGATTTTCTACAAGATGACTCTCTGATTTTTCGAATAGAAGTCAGGTCCGCTTAGAAAAAATGTATTCGAATACATTGAAATAATGAAGCACCTCGCTTGACAACACTAATGTAGCCGACGGCACTCACCTCCACCCGCCACTGGCTCTACGTTTGCATTGAACTCTAGTTGAGACATAAAGTACTATACGTATGTATTGTATAAAACCATGCGCGAGTAAACGGGTATACTATATATATATATATATATATATATATATATATATATATATATTCCATGCATTTTATTACTTATTCGACTTTGGTGGAATGGTAGCTATTGTAAGTAACCGTACCCATAATGACCGGATAGGCCACACGTTCGTTATCTATAACCGTAGACGAAGCTCGTCGCCAGAGGGTGACAGTTTATCAAAGACAATTGATTAAACGTGTAATAATTTTTCTAAGCTATCCGGTTTCAGTGTCCCTCGCATTTTTCTTTCGTAACGACTCCCTGCTGTGTGCATCCCTGATTTCTTTTTTTCTCGTTTTTGCCGTATATAATATATTTCCGTTCTCGTGTTGGCTCGCGCCAAACGGAGCAGAGACAACAGAGATTCAGCTTCTTTCATTCGGTAATTCTCTTTATAGTCAATTCACTAGTAAAATGAGAAGTTTAGGGGACTCTTATATATTCTTTTTTTTTTTTATACCGAAAGTCATGCCAAAAAGATCCCTTCAAAATATATTTTACTCGAGGAAGGACTATACAAATATGTTAAATTTGGTAATCACGAGCCTTGTCAAGAGTCCAATAGCATTCTATACTTTCGTTGGTTGTGTTACGCAGGGATTATGGCCGATAATCTAGAGGCCGCTGTAAACGTGTAAATTCCGCATTGTGGCTCCCGTGTATATATTTGTGTTTCTGAGACTAACGTTAAGTGGCGCACTGTACCGATTTGTGTGCTACAGACCAGCAGTTCGAAGAACTTTCTAAAGGAAGAGATTTGGTAGGACCTGATGAATTTGTGTTGGACTGTGATCAACAGGAAGAGCAAACAGAAAGTCCCGTGATCGCTTTTTGTTTTCTTATAAACGATGGATCTTAATCCGATTCAACTGGTGTTCCTAGCGAACAGCGTCTTTGTAGCCGGTGTTGGGATTCTTATACATCTGATCGAGCCCCACTTGCCTATTTTACTCACTCGAACGTATCGTTATGGGAAAAGTTCCGTAAAACTCGAGCAACCAGTAGTCGCCAGAGTCGAAGTGCCAAAGAGGTAAGATATTTTGTTTTTACTCGTCCCTGTCAATCTCCTGTTTTATCCACGATATAGCTCTAAGTAAATCGCGCCTTTTTCAGATGGTTTGCACACTTTTATGCATTTTCCGCGCCTGTCTCGACTATCGTTTTGGCATTGATCGTCTACAGGTATTTCTACAATGGCATCCCCCCGGAAATCATTTATCAGACGCTCGATAGATTCTTCGATAAATCGAGAAAGCCACTAGGTACATTATCTCATTAATAAGAATAATCGGCCACAATACAATAAGTATGCCGAATGTAATTGGATCTTCTCTTAGTGCCAGCGGCAAATACTCTTCTAGCCGGTGCGCTCTTAACTATACAATGCTCGAAGCGATTTTACGAAAGCTATTTTGTTAGCATCTTCAGTGACGGCAAGATGAATCTGATACATTATGCGGCAGGATTTATTCACTACGTCGGCGCTATAACCTGCATCATCGGAGAGTCTGAGGGCTTCGTCAGAGGTCAGTTGTATTCCATAATATAACTTTATAACTCGAGTACGTTATACTGTTTTATTTTAATTTTCTTTCTTTTCTGTCCCGCCTTTCCGGTCGCCGTAGGGTCGCAAGATGTCACGAAATTAACGCAACTGACACTACTGGACTATGGCTCGGCATTTGTTTTTCTCTGGTCCTGCTACAAGCAGCTTCGATCGAATTATATACTCGTGGCTTTGCGCAAGAACGAAAAAGGAGTAGTAGTAACCAAAGGCTACAAAGTTCCACACGGAGAACTTTTTGAGTATATATCCGCGCCGCTACAATTCACTGAAATTCTCATGTACGTCAGCCTGGACGTAATCCTCTGGAAGAGTCGGAGTTATCACTACGTGTTCTGGTGGGTTTTGATAAATCAGTGCGAGTGCGCGTTAACAAGTCATAGATGGTATCAGAAAACTTTCAAAAATTATCCCAAGAATCGAAAGGCCCTGATACCACTGGTCCTCTAAATGTCTTGCAATTAGACTCGTATGAGAGGGACAAAAGTTATTTGCTGCTTGTTTCACATTTTCATATTTTATTTCAATTTTATTTTTAGATGATTGATTCTTTATACTTTCAAGTGTACCGTTTATCGCTCCCACACAACATAGTAAGAAACAGAGATTGCCATTGTCATATATATAAGATATGACAATTGTTACATAATCGGATTAAATGGTATATCTCATTATATACTCCTTGACCGTTTATATTCCGGGATCATCCACCGTTTCAATTACTTGAACAGCAAACTGTAACAACACACGACACGTTGATAATACGCAAAGTCGAAAGATCGTTTGCATTTAAAATTGTGATTAAAACGACTATGATTACCTATAAGGATATCCCTGGGCTTTGTTCCTGAAGATCGAGAGAAGTAAACTGAAAAAAACTGCAACTATACCAAGGCCTATAACTGCAAAGATGCGCCGCTTTTTGACATCACCCTTACGCGCCGCTGCTTCGGTAATTAGAATCATTCCCAGTACTACCGCACCGTCTGTTTCATCGTCGTTAAGGCACTTACGGATTAATTAATAAATTCGTTTGCCAGTGACATTTGGGTCGTTCGCAGATCAAAGGATACTGAGCACCATCACTATGTAAGTTTCCAAAACAAACTGACCCTGAGAGGAACCGTGAATGTAAGCCAAGTTTCCATTTGGTGATTTATGAATAAACGGCGGTCCTCTTATATGATTCCACATTTGTCCCGATATCATTGTCAGAGTAAAAAACTGTATAAACATCGTAAGCGGCGTTATTGAATGGCGATGCTATTAGAAATGTACATACCTGAATCGACTTACCAAAGCACCAAGACCCCAAATAGTCTTATTGTAAATAAAGTCTAAATTGTTACGCCTTAGATACAGGAACCCTCCAATCAGAACCAACAGCATCACAACTGCCACGGTTCCAGAATAATTTGGTGGCCTGAATACTCTGATCTGCTCAATATAATTCACATTTTATTTTTTACTGCATAGAATGTCTATAGAACTCTATGTCAAAGTACATTGGTACATTTCGAGCTCACTTGTATGTCAGTTCTTTCCGAAATCCATTTGGCAATGGCTTCAGCAGCAAACCCTACGCGTTGGATGTCCATGGTGTCTGCTGGTTTAGGTTTTCCTTTCGATGGGAAATGCATATAGACTGGTGCCGTATTTAATCTCATCTATGCGAATTGAAAAGGAAAGTCAAAAATTGGACAGAGAATAGTACAAAATATACTGATATGCATAGATCAGGAGTGTGGTTTTACCAGTTGAAAAACATCGGAGCCTTCGTCAAAGTCCACCACAGCAAAGAATAATTTATTTGAATACGACTGTGAGTAGCGAAATGAATTTGCTACAATTGTAAATTCGTCATTGGCATGCCTATTATATTTAAAGATTGATAAGTAGTTCGTTTAAAGATAATTCTGTAGAGATAAAAAAGAGAATTGACCTGCATATCTGACATTGTCTTTGTGGTGCCATTGCGGTGAACATAACTATGACGGAGTAATTTCTTGGTGTTGTCTTCACAAACTCTTTAAACTTTGCGCCATTAAACTTCAATACAGGTCTCTTAACTGCCATTTCAGTCAATTGTTGAACCCTCTCAGTTAAGGAGGAGGCTTGTGTCTAAAAAATAATTTGGAACATTGTTTTTAGATTGTATCTTGCGCACGGAGTAGGAATAATAATTGGCTGACGGTAAAAACCTTACATTTTTTGTTCTATATTGGCAGCTGACATGGCCCAGGAACGATAGGAGGGTAGCGAGAATTGTAAATAGAAATGTATACTTCATTTTGTAAGATGCGGCAAGATTGCCAGCTTGGCAAGCGTTAAGTAGGCGTAATCAGGCGAAATGAAGCAAGGACACGAGAGAACACGTAGCGTAGGAAACGCGTACAGGAAACCCACAGCAATCGGGAACACTAGCAAGCGCGGTTGGCCACGGGATGGTGGCGACTGATGGCGACTCTTAAACGATTTGGTTCTCAGTGGTTCTCAGATTTTAACGTTTCGACGTGGCAGCCATCCGCTTCAATGGGGGATATAAACTGACATCCAAAGGATGCTCATCAATGCTCATTTATAATCGCGGCCTGTCGGACCATCGGCGCATACCCAAAATTATTCCTGAAAACGAGTTAAAAAATGCCTTTTGTTTGGTAATCTTGCTATTGACTTGAAACGCATCACCCTTCCAAGGCCGTTTGTGATTTCGAGTTCGTTTACAAGATGAAGATTTTGTTAATTGGCGATATCTCTAATTTGTGAATTTCCAAATATCAGTCCATCGACACTCTATCGTGTACTAACAGCAGTGTCCGGGCTTAAAATGTCTACTGTGAAAGTATAGATGGTTTCATTCATAAATCGCGAATCTCGGAGTATGCTCGTATGCTCCGTCGATTGTCGCGGTCGTGCCGGTAATTTGACCGATGTCGACGCCCCTGCGCGAACGTCGACTTGACACGAGCCTGCGCTGTATGGCGGTGTGTGCCGTTGAAACGGAATTCAAATGGTAAGCTGAGTGATTTCGATTGGCTGAGAACTCAGCGGGTTAGCAGCCATTGGTTCTAATTGTATTGTGTTATGGTGTAACCGTTGCTTTAAGCTGCCCTTACGAAAAACCAGTAGCCCCCTTCTCTATATAACTGGCGCTACCGGTAAACAGCTGTACGCGCAAAGTCGAATAATTTTCCCTCGTATTCAACGTTGCGAGTCGGCGAGAGGAGGACGTATAAATGTCTCTCGAGTGTGGACACTTGAAAGCGCATTGCTCGCCCCGTTGCAGTGCTCCTTCAAGTCGTTTTATATCCTTAGTTAACTAGTTTAATAACGTTTCGTGTTTTTATTGCTCCGGGAAGACAGGGAATTGCGCGTAGATCCGATATTTCGCAGTTCTATCATCACAACACTGTGTCATCGTGTCACGAAAAATGTCTTTTTCAAAGGCGAGAATTCAGCGCTTTAACGAGCAAAGCAGTAAGTTTATTATTTACATACATATTTATGGGTGATTATTCATTTGGGCTCGTGTCAGAATGACTCCGTATTGGGATTGTCATTGGCTGTATTAATATAGGAGCAAAATTTGGAGCAAACATGATTGGAAACATTACTTGTGTTGCTTTGTTACCGATTCTATATATATACATATATGTATACTTTATTCACCACGAGCAAGAGATTGTCGCGGTTTTATCCGTACGTTAAGCACACAGCCATTCGTCCGACATGTGCCAGGAATTACCCCCATTGTGCACCCTCGGCGCTACTACAATTCATGGGAACCGTCCCAGTCACAGATCATGCAATTTCAAAGAAAAAGAGCGCAGCTGCTGCTGGCCGCCTTTTGCATCAGAGATAGGGTGCCGCGTGGAGGGTATCCCGCTCAAAGTTCGTCGGTTTCTCAGTGCCCCCTCCCCACCCTTGCTGCTCTTACCTATTGTATATACATACATAACGTGTACGCACGGCTACCGTGTTACAACGAAATCTGTTTCACGGCAGGACGCATGGGTATCCGTAACGTTCGTTAAAGCGATTAACTACGCGTTTCAATCTGCACGAATTATGCAGTTGATATTCAATGTTTCTCATAAACGCTATCCATCTATTTTGCAGGCGAGGCACCTCCGCCAGGAGCGTATGATCCGAAGTTCGCTAACAAAATCAAAGGGTTTGTAATTGAGAAATCGGAAAGATTTCAGGACACCAAAAGTGCATCGAGCAGCGGTGCCGAATGCAATCTCTCCGTTTCCAGCAAGGGGGCTGCTGGAGTCGGTTCTGTTGCCACTTTTCGAACGGTAAGAAAACCTTTCTACACTTTAGGCGTAACCCACGTGTCAGTTGTACGACTAAAAAAAATTAGATTCCGGATTAGACAGAACATTGACACACATCGTGTAATTTGTGTATGCAGCATGACAATGAAGTAGATATACTGTGTCTCGTCGTTACACAATACATTAATTACAGCCTCAGCTTCCGAGAAAACGTATTCTGGTAGCGAGACCAGGCAATACGAGTTGCCCAAAGAGTAGAACGAAAAGCGCAGTTGTTACCAAGGATTCACGCGCAAAGTATGACTCTAGAAACGAATTGGCTGATCTTAAAGTCGAGTGTCTAAACAAGGACAAGACGATACATGAAAATGAGAAACATATCGAAGAACTAAACGATGAAATACGAACAATCGAAATGGAAGTGGAAGACTTGCGCAAGAAGCAGGTCGAAGCGGAAGCGCAGTACAAGAACCACATCGAGGCAATGGTATCTGATTTACGTTTAAGGGGCTTGCTACTAAATTAACAATTTTCATCGGTTTGTTTCTTAAAACAGGCAAAATTGCAGCAAGACGTATTGCACGCTCAGGATCAAAGACACAAGTCGGAGTTGCAGGCAATCCGCGCAGAGTTGACGAAAACATTGGAAATGAAGGAACACGAGATCGAAGAGCGGCGGCTTATTGAGAAGGGGCTGCACGAACGTCTCGAAGTCATGTCGAAAGAGGTAGCACGTTTAAAGACGGAGCTGAATGGAAGCAAGGAGAAGGAAGAAATGATTGAGAAATTGAGAAATCTAAAAGTGCAGGCCGAAATGCGTGAGGCCACGCTTTTTGAAGATTTGAAAGAATCGGAAGACAGAAAGGAGAGAGCATTTGCCGACTTTGAACAGTATAAGATTACAAAGGACAAGGAATTGGCGGACCTCGAAGAGCGGGCAAATATAATGGTGAGAGATGCTAGATCTGCTCTCGAGGAAGAAATGCGTCTGTCCACCGAAAGATACGAGGCATGCGTCGCTCGCATGGAAGCCGAGCGAGTGTCATTGGAGGCGAAGCTCATTCACAGGGACGCGGAGAATGAGAAATTATCAGCGACACTCGAAGAACTGAAGGCCTCTGCCGAAACGCAGGTGATCAACTGAATCAGTTAATTAAAATTTACGGATGCTCGTTAAATTCTCTTATGCGATTAGTTTTGTATTATCCTGTAGGAGAGTTTCAGTCAGAGTTTGCAGGCCGAGCTCGATCGCGCTGAGGCTGAATTGGCCGAACGAAAGGAGGAGCTTAGAATTTTAAAAGATCAAATCCGCACTGAGGCTGCTGAAATGGTCGGCAGAAGACGACGGTCTGTACCTTGTTCTCGACTGCATTGTATTGCTTATCAATTATCATTCCTAACGTTGTTTCGGTCTTTTTTTTTTCGCACGCTATTTAGATTCGACGTGATAATGGCTGAAAATCAGGCGTCGGTCGCTGCCTTGAGTCGACGTCTGGCACAGAGCGATGCCGAAGTTGAGCGTCTTCAACGTGAATTGGAATGCGGAGAAGCCTGTATCTATGAGCATCGTGATCTTTTGAGCGCCATGAGGAACAGTTCCAAGCTGGTGCACGAGCAAATGCACGATCTTATCGTTCAGTTGGATGCCAAGAGGGAACTGATTGATCAATTGGAAGCCGGCAGCGTGGCTGAATTCGAAACGCTCAAGTCTCTTTTCGGGGCGAAGATCGAGAGCTTGAAGCTGGTAGCCGCCAATGAAATGTCTAGATTGCAGGACGATTGTGCCAAGGAAGTCGTTCGAAGCAACGAGGTACGTCTCTTCTGGTGACGGTTGTCGTTGCCTTAGATATTGTGTTAACAATCTTTAGAAAAACAATGCTATGATTTCTGTTTCCCTTGAAGCTACGACAACAGCTGGACGAAATGGCTGGAAAGATGTCCGAAGCTCGAGAAGCTCTCTTGAAACTCGAAGAGCAGCATGACGTGCGGGAGATTGAGATTTCAAAATTGCAGCTCGCGAAACAAAGGTTGGAGCAGCAGTTGGACAATGCGCATGGCGTGACGGAAAATCTTGGACAGCTGGAAGAAGAGAGAGCTCGACGTGAAATGGCAGAACTGTATGACGTTATCTCTATGTACCTACTGAATATTACAGGGTGGTAAAGAGTCGAGTTTGCACTTTTTTTTTCTTACGTTTGTTCCAATTGTCGCAGGGAAGTTAAGAAACTCACCGATAGCTGGCAGCGTCTTAACAACGATCACAAGGAGCTCATGGAGAAGTACACGGAAATACTTGGACATCACAATCACAATCAGAAAATTAAGCACATCTCTCAGCTGAAGGAGAAGATCCATCGATTGGAGAAGGTTCGTTTTTTTTTTATTGTCGTCCTAGATTCCCTCATTAACCGTGACAAATTTTTTATATCTCTTTTCTTTCAATCTTTTTTAGGACTTGGAAGCTAAAACCAATCTCGCCGAGCATCAGCAAAAGTTAATCGATAAGTTCAAGTCCGAGGAGAAACGTTGTGTGGTCGTCAAGGGCAAGGAAAATATTCAAATTTCGAAACGTACCACGCCAGTTTCGTCCCCCCACAAGCCCGCTACGCCTTTACGAGCTCGTAACGAATAAATACGTTGTCTTTTATTTTCGACGACATAAGAAATGGTCGAAGTCTTCTCGTCTGTTCGTTGCTTCGAAATCTCAGAGATTGAATTATCAAGAACATTAGTAATCATTGTCACACATATACAAGGTATATCTTGGTCGATTATATTTTGGCAATTACGTTGAGTTGACATTTGATGTTTTTGATTTGTAGATTTTCTTTTAAAAATAAATACGATAATAAGCCTTAAGTTAAATTTTAAAGATTGAAATCGAAGCTCTGCCACGTACCTTTCGCGTTCTCTTGTACATTGGTGTAACAGTGTAGTTTGATAGAAATGCGCATTATATGGTTATATGCGTGGTTCTTATGTGAATTGTAACGGTAAATTGAAATTCAATTCTGCGAGCGAATGGTCAGGATCCGTGTAACAAAGGAAAAATGTGGCAACGTGCATCGGCTGCTTCCTTCCATTAAACTGCTACTATCGTTGCGACAATGTACTTACGTATTATGAATTATTGTCAGTATCACGGTCAAAATGATCACCCGCTCCGTTCCGTGTATTCGCCTGCATTCTCGTTATGGTCAGTCGCAAGGGCAGATCGTTCTGTCGTGCCACAGCAGGTGTATTTGAATAGTTGTAAGGTTTATGGATTAGCGGCAGGGTACGGTAACGAATGGCATTGCCGATTCCGAAGATATTCGGTTGGCAACTAAATGATTGCGGATTTTAAATAAGAAGGAAACGAACAAATCCGCAATACTTTCTGTTGTCAACCCAATACATTGACGATCAAACACTAGATTCGTAAATGACTATTTGCATAAGAGGCTTTTTAAGTGTCGGTGGCGATACGGTCGTGATTTCTCGTAGGACCGCTTCGACAGCTTCTTCCCACTCACGATTCTTTGAGTCGTCAATACCCATGACGCCGGAACGTTTGAGTCGTGGCATTGAAACAATCGTGAGGACCCTCCTGAAACGTAATGGAGTTTAAAAAATATGCAACGTACAATATATCTGTACTACGTTACACGCTATATTGTTATAGGTATATTATGGTAGACTAGGTTAGGTTAGGTTAGGTTAGGTTAAGTTAACGCGTGTGCTCAATGGAATTGCCTGAGATCGGAGTGTAAAGCTGACATGTCGCCGCCCGCGTGTTCGCCTATTCTCTTGAGAGTTTCGGCTAGTGGGCCACTCAGTGCTTGAAGTCTTCTCCATGATTGAGCGTACTGTCTTCTGACAAGCTCGATTATGGTACTTGTCAAGGCAAGACCCAATAGGAAGTAGAGTGTACACAATAGAGCGTATTCCGGTTTCTCTGAAAAGCGAGAGAACCGACATTCAATTTTTTTCTAATTTGCATTAATGCAACGAATATTTGGCACAACGGGTGACTGCTCTCCGATTATTTGCGAATGCCTATCGCGTGTCTCGTAGTTCGCGTCTGGCAGATCATTAGGGAACAGGAACGGGGATTACAGATTGTCAGGTTAGCGATTGTGCGCGCACACGATTGTCGCGCGCCTTCAGTCACGGAATATCCGCTTAACGAAAGACGAAAAGTTTGTCGGATGTACTCACTAGGCACCAGATCGCCGAAACCAATGGTGGTCATAGTAATGAAGCAAAAGTAAAAGCTGTCGAAGAAGTCCCAGTCCTTTTCGAAAAGCATAAACATAGCAGCACCGCAGGCCAGATAGAGAAACAGGGACACGACTGCGGCGAACGCACCTGCAACGAGAGTGGGGACGACTGTACTTTGGTACACGACTCGTAAACGAATCAGGGTAGGGTAGTAGTAGTAGCAGTAGTGGCGTGTTGAATTTGATTTGTCGATAACAGAAATCTGCAATACGATTGATTCGAAGTATAATAATAATAATAATAATGATAAGGACGATGTAATTTTCAAGTCGAATATTTACCGAGCGAGCGTCTTCCAGCCATGTTCGTCGGCATGCAGGACGCAATTGACGTGGGTAAATTGGGCGTAATTTCTGCAGCAATCGCGGAAACGGCTTCGGCGAGTAGTCTTCCCCAACCGGCGATCACCGTCAACGTCAAGGGTATACCGACCAGGGCGAAAAGGATGCAAAAAAGTTTGCCCCAATGAGTAATGGGAACGACATTTCCATATCCTGCGATCGAGGCGCATGCAAATTGAGAAAAAAGTTAGTATAAAGAATAAAAGGAATGGCAAGCGAGAAAATTTGTGTGAATCTTTGAAGAATTAGCCGTAATGTCATTGTTCTCGGATTTTGTTAACCTCCGTTGTCGCCGGCCGCGTAGGCGACAGAGATGCAAGTGTGTTGGCCGCTGCATCCAACCAGTCCATGAAATCTGAGGTGCGAGAAACGTAAGAACGGAAAGTTGGTAGACTTGCCGATTGTCGTGAGAACGGTGCTGGCAAAGAAAATCGAGTGCGAGATCCCCCAGCGCTCGTTAGGATCGCCGACGCTTCGGTTCTTTAATATTTCTTCAATTTCTCCCGCAAGACCTACAGCCAGTCCAGCCTCGGTCGCTTCCTGAACGGCCAACTCGTAAGCGCGCAGCTTGACGTTCACCTGGAACACCGCCCCCTAATATACCTATAGACACTTTGCCGCCGACCCGAAAGACATCTGTCGTTCGTGCTGGTTAACGTCCCAGCTTACTCGTTCTCGATCGTTCTCGATCGTTCTCGATCGTTCTCGATCGTTCTCGATCGTTCGCAGAGACCTCAATCAACTTACCAGACTGTCCAGATTCGACGCGTTAGCGTTATTGGTTATCGTCCTCACAAGATGTTTTCTCTGACTGCAAAGAGCTTCGCGCAAGCGAGTCATCCTTGATATTTCAGCCGGAAGTTCGAGTTCTCGAAATACCTGCACGACAACAACAACAACAACAACCAACAACAACAGAGGTAGCCGCATATTGGTACACGTATAAATAAGAATAATGAAGCATGTCCAAAAGTAGTTAATAAGGCTCGGAGTCGGTAGTTTGTTCTTGTAGCCAACAGTATTTAGCTAATAAAAGCGGGAGCGAACGTGTTTACCGTATTAGATGGACGACTCTTTATTCTTTCTTATCTCGCGTGCAATCAATTTGACCAGCGGGGAAAGAATCTATGGAAAACGACGCTTTTTTTTATTCCATACTCTCGTTAATATAGGGAACTACGTCAAAAATATGTATATATATATATATATATATATATATATATATATATATATACACATATATATGGGGTCGTTCACGGCGCACGCACCTAGTAGAAACTGGCAGTGAACGGAGGATTTCATGAATCAGAGCAGGATGCCATCATTAAAGAAATAAAAATTACGTCATAATATTGCTAAGATCGTGAATTTCGTGATTCTTTAATTAGTTTAACGTAAGGGCCATACTACCTCGATTAACAGAATATCATCGTTCAATCGCGTCGGGCCAGGCTTCAGCCGGTGCGTTTGCCATGAATAACCCTACCCTGTATGTTTACGCTATCGTGCGAGAGGAATTCGGTATGGCTCTCGCGTTGCCGAGTCCAATCGAGTCGAGAAAAATCATGACACACAATTTTCAGACATTCGCTCTCGCTATTTTTCTTTTCTGCGTATACGAATGGTGCGAGTCGATTATATGATTAAAAAAAGTCAGGTTTTGCGATTACGTGTGATGCGATGATTTATGACGTGGAAAGTTTATCATGCTTCGATTGAAATGAAACCAAGTTGTAACGAGGAGACACATTAGTGTGAATGATGTGCGAAAAGTTGAAAGCGTGGCGTAACGTGCGTGCAAGACGCATATGGAAGACGATAGCGAACGGGCAGTGAAAGAAAGGGGACAGAGGAGGAAGGAACGCGAATAAACAATTGCGCGCCCCGAAAGGCTTCCCCGAAAATAGGAATTACTTAAAATAGGCAGCGTCGATGCTGGCCGGCGTCGGGACGATGGGCGTTGCGCATTTTGCCTATCGAACTATGCAGACCGATCAATTTCTTCAATTGAATTACAATGGGAGATTATCCTTTACGAAGACTTCTTACCATGCCGCCAATGCAGGTGTAGAGCATCAGAGCAAGAAGTAAGCCAATGGGTTCCGCAACGTGTTTCAATTTCTCAATTGACGTCTCACGAAAGATTCCTTTCCAGCCTCCGTCGAGTACTCTCGCATCGTTGGATCCTCGACAATGTTTCCGTTTTGCTCCACTTAAATTTTTCTCACATTTACGTTCAGGCCGAATTTCAGGATCCGCGTTTTCATTGTCGTAACGCTGGCGCCTTAGTTCCGTTTTCTCAGTGATTGTCATAATAATTCACTCGGCACGAATCAAACGAAGTTGTACCGCGTTATCAGCGACTCTTTGTTACTTTTATGCGCTGGAGACAATCTTTGGCATTGCGATCGTCGAAGAACGTGGGAACGCAACTGACAGAAATACTTGACCCTGGAATCTGGCGACGGAGAGATTGCGCTTTTGAGTACGCAAGAAGTTATCGGCTGCACGCAGTCGCGCGCGCTGTGACGTACTTTCCCACGTGTCCGATCCCATAGTATACATTGTGCAATTACAAGTGCATTTCATTGTCTTATTTTAAGAAATAAATTATAATTACTTTTATTTTCATGGAACCAATGGCTGTGTGATTCATAGGATTTTATTCAAAGTTTTTGTGGTAACTGAGAGTGTTTTGTACGTAATGGAATGTTTTCCAATTAAATGTTTGTTTAAATGAATTATTCGTTTGCGTCCGTGATATGTTTATTGTAATGGAAAGTGTTGAAATTGAATTAAAATATTTTGGCTCATATCTGACGGGGTTATTCTTTAAATTTATAATTTTGTCACTATAATTTAACCTACTACTTACCATTCTAACTTCATCCTTCTCCTACTCCACTTCCCTTAAGCTATGACACCCCTTTTCAACTATGCTCCATTTTCTCTACAATAATTTCCATTCCATCTCTGCCATATTATCCGTATGTTGACTTCGCTTTTCCTTCAGCAATTCTACCTTCTAAAATAAAATGATTCCCGATGTAACTTGAAAATCGCATTTTCGAAACTTCAATGGATTAAATCATATTAAAGAATTTGCATTAGTTCTAATTTTCGCCGATAACAGGGCAGCACCTCCTGGGTGTAGCGGACGCGTACACAAGTCGTTTATATTTTATCTAATCATTAGGAATGTATTGCACACAGGTAAGTTTCACACACGTAAGCTTTATTTCTTTTGTTTCAGATACAGAGGTATACTATCTACTACGGACGCCATGGAACGCTCTGGAAGACTACTACTGACTACCCTACGTTTGCCGTAGCGCTGCGGTCTTCCGATTTTCGACTTCCTGCCAGCGACGGCCGATAAGTATGGAAGTACTTAGTTCGGTAGAAGTACTTAAACCCTAGTTCGGTCGATAAGTACCGTCTGCTGTTCGCTCTCTACATTTTTGCTTGAGAATATGAAATATCAAAAATAGACTACAAATTCAAAAAAGTAAAGGGATTTTCTGAAAGTGGCCCTATCGCAATTCGATGTGTCCCAGCCTCTTCTATGGACAATTCTGAGTTTCTGCGTTAATGCACGAGTTTTTGAAACGGTTAAGGGCAGGGAAGGAACCCCCTGTTACGAGTTGAGGAAGTGATGCCCAGCTGTCGCCCGATGCCTTGGGGAAGTGGCCGTGGAGGATCCCCAAAAGTGTTACGTACCGATTCGCTAAGAATCGCTCTCAAGTTGGTTTAAAGGGACGACTCGAGGAAGATGGAAGAGTGTTTCGCTACGATGTAGAAAGTTCTCGCTCGCGTAGCTCTCGCGATTCTCTCGCGATATCCAGGAAATTCTGTGGATTTCTCGTGCCTGTTCCGGAGGTGTAGTGCTGTGACCTAGTGAAGTGCCCACCCGAGTGTCCTCTGGATACGGTTCTCCGCCTTCTCGGATTCACTGCTCCAGCTCCGGTGAGTACTCCCAATTTATTAATTATATAAGAACAATGTCAAAAGTCAAAGATAGGGCCACGTACAAGGAATCCCCGTTCTTGGATTCTGAAAATACGCGAAACTTCACCTTCGGCGGGATGTAACTCGCAAACGGTTGGATCTACGGCTTTCCCGTTGAAATTTTTAAAGATCTCGTAGCACAGAAACTCATAATGGTCCATAGACGAGGCTGTGTTCCATCGTTTGTACCTTCATAGTTTTCTTTTAAATTCAATATTAGTGCGTAGCAGGTACAGGGTCTAGACACCATTTTTGTGAGTTTTTCAAAACATTTATAGGTAGTATAATTGTAAGTTAAAGGTAGTATAGTTATAGGTAGTAGAAAAAGTGTATTAATCCGTATGCGTGCGAGAGAGACGCACATAGAGCCCTGCTGTATAAAATGAAACGTACGCGTTAGGAGCATTACAGGGTGCGTCAACGATATCTTGAAATGCGAACAATTGCCGTGCACCGATCAGCCTGCATCGTCACTCGAGAGGATCGTTGACGAACCCTGTACGAGTTGTTATTGACAAACCTGTCGTAGGGGGGCATCACTTATGCCAGGGAGTACTCGAGCGGGTTGGAGGGGGTACTCAGCGGTATACAAAGAATGTATTATTGGTGCAGAGGTCAGTCTTTCGAGAGCCGTTCTCTTGGAAGCCGCGTTTTGCCGGTCTTCCTTCCCCCTTCCCCTCTC